ACAATCAACATTATTCATTGACTGGTATCATTCAAAGCATTGTATATTGTATTTAGTGTTTATAACCTGCTAGTAACCATACAATCAACATTATTCATTGACTGGTATCACTCAAAGCATTGTATATTGTATTTAGTGTTTATAACCTGCTAGTAACCATACAATCAACATTATTCATTGACTGGTATCATTCAAAGCATTGTATATTGTATTTAGTGTTTAGTACCTGCTTGTAACCATGTAATCAACATTATTCATCGAATGGTATCACTCAAAGCATTGTATATTGTATTTAGTGTTTAGAACCTGCTAGTAACCATGTAATCAACATTATTCATTGACTGGTATCACTCAAATCATTGTATATTGTATTTGGTGTTTAGAACAAGCCAATAATCATGTAATCAACATTATTTATTAATTTATATTACTCATATTGATATTTATATTTAGTGTGTTATCCTATTTCAAATATGAGTTTACTTGTCTAAAATTGTGTATTTGCCATAATCATTTGATTTGTTATTTCTCTTAGCTTAGGTGTCAGTGATGGTGCCTGTGTAGTAATCCTGGATAAGGACCATGATGACTCATGGTTGTCCGATCAGACATGTTGATAGTTATAAGATCAAAAAATGTTGTTAATTTACGCAAGAGTTCTTACGTACTTCGATTACACATAGATGTACCATAACATAACCGTGTTACGGCATATAACAACGACATTGTATCTGTATATGTATATACATAGCATATCGAATTGAGAACTGGGGTCTGAAACGTGTTGCCTTATCCTACTGTCGTCAAGTTTGTCATCAACACTACTTAAAAATAAATTTATGTTCTGTGATTGTCGTCCAAAAATGCTGTATTTATTTCACATGTGTATGCGTTGCTAAGCTTTGGGTTGAGACGATTTGAACGTTGAGACGATTTGAACACGGTTACGACGACCGCAAACATATGCATGTGTAGTAACTGCTAAATTAGTTGGATTTGTTCTTGACATATGTAATAAACTGAAAAACGAAAACAAAAAACAGTTACTGCGTCAGTTGGTTATGTGTTTCGGGCCAGACGTACTTTTTTAAACATTTTATTTTTAGACAGCCAATATCTGCAACGCGGGTTTCGAATCCAACTTCAGGAAACAGTCAAAATACAAACAAAAATCATATTCACAATTTGTTTGAACGCATGTGTGTGGTGTATCATTAGAACCATATTTAAAACCATAATACATTAAAATGTGACAATTTAAATTTAAAATATGAAAAACAAATGTTAAAATTTGAGCATTTAAGATTAATATATGAGCATTTAAATTTTAAATATTACCATTTAAATTTAAAATGTGAGAAATTAACAATACAAAGGTTGAGAGTTATTGCGATGGTTTGAACATATGCAAATAGAACCCTTGATCTGACACCAAAAGGAAATGGCCGAACATTTTTTGAGTTCTTCTGTATAGCTCTTCGGTATTACCAGACACTATTGCCATTTTGCAGACAGCTGACATACACGATGCTTTGTGTAACATCGATAAAACCTACTTTCAGCTAAAAGTATCAGGCATTTGTGTACTGTAAGGCGGGGAAGCACATCGAAGTCAGAGTTTCACACCCGAACTGGATTCACGTCCGTGTTAGAGCGCATAAGCGTCCTCGTTATATGTATGTAAAACCCAAACAACGTCCCCCCCCCCAAAGAAAAACCTCGGGGTAGGTGAGCTCTGCGGCTGAGTGGGTGAGGGGAGTTTGCGTGAAAATTCGAGCAACTACGTGTAAGCTCACACAACGGATATCCGGTTCTGTTGCTCGTCAATGAGATAGACAACTTAATTTTATATTATTTCCTTTTAGTTATCTTTAAGGAGTTGACCATTAAAAACTATGTAGGTGATGGCAAAATTGGGAAACAATAAATTGCACAGGAAAGAACCCTGGAAAAATACCTTTAGGGATCAATAACAGAATAAAATGCACGTCTAAATCTTAGAGGAAAAAGTAAACACATAGTGTATAAATATAAAGATTAAAGTATTATGACATCAGTGTTTGAAATTTCACTATGAGTCCTGCCAGACAGTTAATTACACATCAATTTAAAATGTTTCCCATTCCAAGCACACCAAATCGCTCTATTTAATAGAAGGAGATAAGAACGAAGGTATGAATAATTTCAAGCCTCTCTGCTCGTCATTTTTATCTAGATCTGAGAAGTGAGCGAAAATCTAAAACATTCTTACTCAAACACGAATACACAGTTCCGTTGATTAAAGCATACTATGTACACAATGTTACTACACCACTGGGCATGTACTTTTTCATTTTCACCAGCCCGAATGGAATATTACCCGTCTCGAGTACACAGGGATACGGGGCAGTAATTTCAGTCACATGTTTCCACTGTAAAAAAAAGTCGCTCACGTGTGTCGGTCGAATCGTATACCCCGTATTCCATTGTGTAGACGCTTTGTCATATAAAATGACCCAAGTGGCTGTGACTCGGGATTTAAGACCACTGAGTGTTTCATTGTGGGAAAAATAAACCGTGGAACGAATGTATATTTCTGGCCAACTCGACCGCCCATTCAATGGCATATTGCGCAACGTACAAACACAGTGACCCGTCACAATACCTTTAATGCTCATTTGCATATCGTGTTCAGCAGAGCGCCACATAAGCGCTATGTTCAAATCTAGTAAGTTCGAACTTCCGGTTTTGAAATAAAAATAAACTGATAAATATTTAACGTTCATTTATCATATATTAGACTTAACTGCTC